AAAAAAAAAAATATTATGTTATGCCTCAATTCTCAAAATATTCAGAGAACCCATTAATGTTTCTCGAAAACAAGAAGAGAAGCTTCCCAATTTCCGAACTTTCTAGAGAACCCAAAAAGAGGAAAAGGAAAAAATGCTGTAATAAATTGCTAATTACAGGAAAATGAACAAGAAACGGAACAAGAAAGTGTTGTGTTTTTCTGTTCATCAGGACTCAGGAGCTTGATAGAAGGAAGAAAGAAAACGAAATAATAATCAATTTTAAGAGTGATTGTTGGATTATATAAACTGTGTTTGAGGTAGAAGAAGACGATGAGATGGGGTCGCGCCATGGCCCAGCAAATTTGTGGTGTGTGATTCAGCTTTTGCACAAATAAACAATAAAGCTTTAAAATCTGCATAAAAATATCTCATCGTTATTCGTTCACGTGTTAATTGTAAGACGTACGGATTATTTCCTCTGTCTTTTATGCTTTTGAGTTTTTGAGAAAGGGTACGATAGAACCATTTTATCCGGTTTGTAATCGTTAATCAATTATCAACGACGATTACATAATGATTTAACGGTTACAAACTCCAATAAAATGTTTTCGTAATGAGACTGTAACATTTCCATGAGTTTTGAGAGACGTGAAGAAAATGTGCCAATTTTGTTTTTGTTTCTATTTGTTATAAATACATCAATATGAACATTACTAATATATAATTGGGCCTGAAGTCCATTAGATAGAAAAATTAGGTTGTAGGGCTTCCCTCTTGTAAACCCTATAAAAGGGTGATTATACCGATGAATAAGATTACAGACTTTTATGCTTCTCTTCTCTTGTTCTGTTTACTGCACATCTTTATGTTGGTTGATTGATGGATGCTTGGTGAATACAGAAGAGTTCCAATTTACAACACGTTATCAGCACGCTCTAATCCCATAATTCGTTTTTGGTGTTGCCCTAAGAAAAAATCGTGTTTTTCCTGTAAGGTAATTACAAGATATCCATTTATTTATCTGTTAACTGTTGTATTAATCATCCGTTTCCTGCAAGGTAATTACCCGTTGAATTTTTTTAACTAATCGAGTAATGGATCTACCGTTTCGTATAGTAGCTATAAGAACTGTATTAGCTAAGCAATTGACTTATCGGCTGTGTATCTGGGCCCTATGATGGACCTTTAGATAGAATAGGAGAGTGCTTTGAATTACTGGATACACCTCAGCATTAGAACCAGAACCACTTTATGGGTTAGTGGATCATGATGATATTAAATTTTTTTGTTATTCATCTTATTTAATTGGTTGTTTTTGAACTTGGTCATGAATTATTTGATGTGCATATTTGATCCATAAGTTGGTTGGTATATGTTTGTGAAATTGATTTATTTTACGAATCAATAAAATTACACTTGTTCATTGTGAGTTTCAACAAATTTGGTTAGACATGTATTTTGATAGCCATTTTTATTACTTGATTCTTCTGCATATACTTAATTTAAGGGAATGGTTAGTTTGATTTTTAATGGATCCAGCCAATCATCATTTCTCCATGACTACAATTTATTTTATGTACATGACTTCAATTGGTAATACAGTACCACGTATGTTTTTTTTTTTTTTTT